CGCTCTTTGATCCTGTATCCTGTGTTTCCTGGTTCTGTGTTCTCGTGTCTTCTTGGTCTTATGTTCCTGTGTCCCCCTGGTCCTGCGTTCTAGTGTCCGCCTGGTCCTGCGTTCCTGTGCTTCCTGATCCTGTGTTCTGGTTCAGTGTTCCTGTCATCTGCCTTATTACCAGTGATCCTGACCCTGCAGCCTTGTTCGTTTGTCCTGCTTCGGGCTTTGCTTCCTGGTGCCATATATTTGTTTTGTTGCTCTGGATCTGTGTCCCACCTATTTCTGTGGTGGCTGCACAATCCTGCTCAAATACATTCTTTATACCAAAGGACTGTTTAAGTATACTCTGCATGCCCAATTTATGGTTATCCTGATTTATTGTAAATATTATTCTGTGGTTTTGTATATATTTATTACATATTGTTTTTGATATCTTTTGTCCTTTGGTTCACTTTAATATATTTTTTAAATTTATTCTATTCATTGTGTCCTTGCCTTTATTCTTTGCTAAATTGGTTCCCACATTTAAAAAGAAATAGTGCGGTCTCAGGGCAGCACCCCTTCATGTCATGACATAATGATCTGACCACTTGGAACCAGCAGAGAATAATGTCTAGGATCACGATGGATAACATTGTTGGTATTAACGCTGATTCACAGCAAGAGTATGCTCTCATTAAGACTTGTTATGATCAATTAAAACATATCCAGCGGCAGATAGAAAAGGCCTCTACCTTATGTTTGTCTACTATAGACGTTTCTTTCCACGTTCAGAAATCTGTATTATGTGGACTTATCACTGAACTGCAAACTTATCACAAACAAATATGTGACCCTTTGCTCTCTCAGTTACCTAATTGCGAAAAATGGTTGAGAAAGCCCCCTGTGATAAATAGGGTGTATGAACTTCTTTGTGTGTCTCTTAACCCCTTAAGGACCAAACTTCTGGAATAAAAGGGAATCATGACACAATAATTACATTGCCTTGATTCCCGAAATTCAATTTCTTATTGATCTAGTACAGGAAAGGATGAGTGTCTTTATGTCTGATAATGATGTTTACATTCCCTTTCCTAATTTGCATAGCATCCCTAATCCTCCTGACTCTGACTTGGGCAAATGGCTTGTTGATCCTCCCGACTGCAAAACCTAAACTCCTCGCAAATTTAAAGCTGAATGCTTTCCAGCCCAAACTGAAGACGACGATGTTGAGGGGTTATATAGCACTGGCGATCCCCTCATGGACTGGGTCTTTGATGAACTGGGTGCTCATTGCATAGCAGCTTTGGAAGACGAGCAGTCTAAATGTGAAGGTAGTACCAGTACGCAATTTCCTAATATTGTCTCGGTACCAGAGACCCATAGTACCCTTATAACACCGTCACTTTTCTGCAAGATCCACTCGCCTATTCCCAGAGTGAGAATACAGACTACCAAGGTGAGCGCTCTTGACACTGTTCAGGAGGGTACAAGTCTGGTCAGAAAGTGTCTCAAACAAAGTCTGCCCAACCACGAAGCAGAAACAGACTCACCTGAGACAACAACCAGAGATACTAATTCCTCCCTCACAGTGCCAATTGAGGAGACCACCAGTAACCTTGACCAGGTGACTGGATCTGATCTGGAAGTCTGTCCCACAAAGGACAACGCATTTGATACTGTAAGTGTCAACCCAAATACTGATTCTATAGAATCAGGGGTTCCAATTTCTCCACCTCTTCCCAAGTCACCCTACAAATTTGACTCAGATCAAATAGACATGGTTGAGTCATCTATTACTGGAGACTTGAAACTGAAAGACACCTATAAAATTTGCTCCGGGTGATGCAAGTGACGTCAAGGCTGGACCATTGAAGTTGGAAACCAATCTCGTTGAAGGTGATCCTCCTGTCAAAAGGCCACCACATAGAAAACATGGTAAACAACCTACTTCTTCCAAAACACTGTCTGAGAATGCTGAAAAACCTAAGGTGAAAGCTTCAGAGCAACCAGTGGAAGAGGAAGTTATTGTGTCAAAGGCAGCTCACGACTTTGATGTGGAGAGGTTTGATGATTCCAATTTTAACCCTTCTACCTCTGGGGGGTTCGAAGATTGGCACCTCTCTTACAACCTCAACGGTGAAAAATGAGTTGACACCAAGTAAAGAAGACTGTCATCCTCAAGTGGAATACAAAGAGTCAGAGTTGGTGCAACGTGACAAACTCCTAATGGATCAAGCCCAAGCTAAGGATCTAAATGAGACTGGGCTTGTTCAAAACCCACAGTCTGAAGAAGAATCTATAGTTCTATGCAATTCTAACACTGTTCTTCAAACTACAACCTCTGGTAGAACAATTTCTCTGCTGCAAAAGGAAACACAAAATACCACACTTGTATCTGAACAAAGCATTGAAGAGTCTTCAAATCAGCCGCTTAACCGAATCCAAATGAAGAGTGAAACTGAACAAGTATTAAAGGAAGAAGTGTCTTCAGATGAGAGTTTTTCTATGTCACTTAAAGAACTACCTCAAGCTGAGCACACAAACAACGAAGATAATGATTTAAGTGACCAGGTATCTCTAGCCGTTACAGAATTATGTCAGTTTGAGAGAGAATCATCCCTACTTCGGGTAACCTCATGTTCCGAGAAATTAAAGGAGCCATCCCTTAATGCATTTCTGCAATCTGAAGAGGAAGGTTCACAAAGTTCTGATCCTGTGCTCGTTAATCTAGGGGATTCTCCTCGATTGATTCCAGTGGTACCTACCCAAGATAACTCAGAGACTGTTCTCCCTTCTACAGAAGTTGCATTGCAGTCTTTATTCTGAGGATCTTACAAGCCAGAAACCAAGTCAGACACAGGACTTCTAATTGATGCACCTATTACCAGCAATAGCCCCAGATCTAGTGGGATGGCATGTTTGTCAGTCACTGGTAATAAGTGTTCCTTATCGTACGTGTCCTTGATTTCTGAGTATGTGTCTACCCTTCTAATGTTCCATGTTACTCTAAGGTCCTTACTTTTCTATGCTCCTATCCTGCCTCGTTGGTTTCTCCCGTGGGATTCTCCACCTCTCATTCCTCCTGAACCTCCTCCTTGTTTTCCTCTACTGGTTGGGTGACCCTGATATTTTCTGTCATACGTGGGGGGCCTTGGGGGTTTAGAGCGCCAGGAGTCGCTCCTTAAGGGGGGGGTACTGTCACGACACTCCTTAGTTGATTTGCCCTCGTGCACTACCCACACTCACCACTTTCACTGTTTGGCACTATTCCTAATTTATTTTCATTAGCACTTCACCTGGTCCTTGTTTAGCACCTATATAGTCTGGTTTCTCCCCTCACTCCTTGTCAGATCATTGTCTCTTGTCTCCTGTTTCTTGTTCCGTGGTTCTTGTTTCCTGGTTCCTGAGATTCTGACTCTTCGCTCCTTGATCCTGTGTTTCCTGGTCCTGTGTTCCTGTGTCCCCCTGGTCCTGCGTTCCGGTGTCCGCCTGGTCCTGCGTTCCTGTGCTTCCCGATCCTGTGTTCTGGTTCAGTGTTCCTGTCATCTGCCTTATTACCAGTGATCCTGACCCTGCAGCCTTGTTTGTTTGTCCTGCTTCGGGCTTTGCTTCCTGGTGCCATATATTTGTTTTGAAAAAAGTCCAGGTTCGGGCTCGAACTTGACCCCGACCCCGAACCCGAACCCCATTGAAGTCAATGGGGACCCAAACTTTTGGCCACAAAAATCCCTCTAAAAACTAATTGAAAGAGCTAGAGAGCTGCAAAAGCAAGTAAAATGGGGGTAAGAGTAGGACAAGTGCCCTGCAAACAAATGTGGATAGGTAAATCACTTAAAATAACATAAAAATACAGCTGAGCCATAAAATACCACTAGATGGAATCTTTGATATTAGCTTTGGAAGAACATAAATCAAAATCTAAAGCATGGCTGTCAGGAGGATCACCAGAATTATCCATTTGAGAGAGGGTTGGGGTGCAGTGTATTCTCTTTCATTGTTCAAACTGAGCTCAACTCCTGATGCATTGAGAAAAGGCCTCCACAAGCCTCTACTAATGTGTACCTAGTTTATACTAAGTGACCCATAGGTTGAGGAAGCGGTGACTGTGGCGGTGGAAGAGGAAGCAGCTTTGGAGGAGGAGGATGAGATAGCCAACACTGTATTTTAGGTTTGTTTGTTTTTTTAAATTGTGGTAGCACACAAAATATTGGGACATACAACAAAAGAAACATTTGTGGCCTGCGGTGCATTTCTTGCAGTCCTGATGCATGGAGAAAAGGCCTTCACAAGGCTCTGCTAATGTGTACCTAGTTGATACTAAGTGACCCATAGGTTGAGAAAGCGGTGACTGTGGCGGTGGAAGAGGAAGCAGCTTTGGAGGAGGAGGATGAGATAGCCAACACTGTATTTTAGGTTTGTTTGTTTTTTTAAATTGTGGTAGCACACAAAATATTGGGACATACAACAAAAGACACATTTGTGGCCTGCGGTGCATTTCTTGCAGTCCTGATGCATAGAGAAAAGGCCTTCACAAGCCTCTGCTAATGTGTACCTAGTTTATACTAAGTGACCCATAGGTTGAGGAGTCGGTGACCGCTGTGGTGGAGGAGGAGGATGAGGTAGCCAACACTGTATTTTTTTTTTTTAATTGTGGTAGCCCACAAAATATTGGGACATACAACAAAAGGAACATTTGCGGCCTGCGGTGCATTTCTTGCAGTCCTGATGCATGGAGAAATGCTCAACTCCTGATGCATGGAGAAAAGGCCTTTATAAGCCTCTGCTATTGTGTACCTAGTTTATACTAAGTGACCCATAGGTTAAGGAGGTGGTGACCGTGGCGGTGGAGGAGGAAGCAGCGGTGGAGGAAGAGGTAGCCAACACTGTATTTTAGTTTTTTAGTTTTTTTTTATTGTGGTAGCCCACAAAATATTGGGACGTACAACAAAAAAAACATTTGCGGCCTGCGGTGCATTTCTTGCAGTCCTGATGAATGGAGAAAAGGCCTTCACAAGCCTCTGCTAATGTGTACCTAGTTTATACTAAGTGACCCATAGGTTGAGGAGGAGGATGAGGTAGCCAACACTGTTTTATAAATATATATATATATATATATTAATTGGGGAAGCCCCCAAAATATTGGGACATATAAAAAAAGACAACTCTGTTCCGCAGAGTAGCTGTTGACATTATAGTTGCGCAGGAACTTTGTTGACTCTCAGGCAAATCGCACATCCCCATGGCGGCAACTTTGCATGCGGATGTCATCCATATCAATTTTCAATGCCAGTTTTTGCGCCTACAATGGTGACCACGGGTAACATGGAATCAGGGTTCCATACAGGGACCCTGAGAAACGGCTACCACATGCAAGGAAGGCAGCAGGCATGCAAATGACCCACTCCCGACGCGGGAAGATAGTGGCAACAAATAACAATACAGGACTCTTTAGAGGCCCTGTAATTGTAATGAGTCCACTTGAAATCCTTTAACTCTGATCGGGAAGTCTGGTGCAGAGCCACTGACCGTGCATGCTGCAGCTGAAACTCCACTATCGCCTGCTGCTGCTCGCAAAGTCTCATGAGGCGGTGAGCGGGAAGGCCGAAGTTACGCTGCAGCGCAGACAGGCGAGCAGCAGCAAGGTGACAACGCCAAAAGCGCGCACAGCCGCTACAGTGAATGTCACATGCTGACAGTGTCTGGGTCCTGGTCAACTCACTGCCCACCTCACTGTGAAACTACAAATGGATCCTTAAATCTGGTACGAACCCGAACTTTGTAGTTCGGGTTCACTCAAGTCTATTATGGATCCTTTGATCGTTACATGTATTACTTGGATAACTGGTAATTCTCAAGCTAATACATACTGACAGGCACTAGGGGGCGGCCGCTCCACTTTTGCACCCTGCTCCCTCTTATGCTGTGCTGGTGCCTCTGTGCGACCAGCGCCTCTTCCTCCAAACTGCACACGTCACTCGCATGACCTTGATTCCATGTGGGGTCTAGGACCTCATCATCCTCCACATCATCTTACACCCACTCCTCAACCCTGCCCTCTTTGCCGGTATGCACACTGCAGAAAGCCAAAGCAGTTTTTCCAGCATGTAAAGTCTGCAAAGGACATATGGAAATTGTTTTAGAATTGTATCCAGGCAACAGTTTTCCCTATAAACTGACCTCTCAGTTTGACTTGTGAGGGCATTGCCCCAGAATTACAATATTGTTGAAGTAACTCTTAGCTATTGATCACTGGTTTAAATATAGCAGCTTGTTATCTGGTAGTTTTCTATCACTTAGATCTGTGTAACAAGTGTGTTAAACAATATTACAAGTGACCGATGTAGTAAATTCGAATCAAAGTTACGCTTCGATTTGACTCTCAGATATGAAGTGAACACCCCAAATATACTATTTAGAGCAAAAAAAAAAAAAAATTACTTTTTAAAACTCAAATGTAAGCAGCAGATTAGCAGAACAGAATATGAAGAACAGGCAGCAAAATTTAATATTACAAGTGACCGATGTAGTAAATTCGAATCAAAGTTACGCTTCGATTTGACTCTCAGATATGAAGTGAACACCCCAAATATACTATTTAGAGCAAAAAATAAATAAATTACTTTTTAAAACTCAAATGTAAGCAGCAGATTAGCAGCAAAACAATTAGAATGTTTACAAGTGCGCAATAAGTGCACTATTTGACCCTTCTATTTGACTCTCAGATATGAAGAACAGGCCCCAAAATGTACTATTTAGCAGATTAGCAGCAAAACAACTAGAATGTTTACAAGTGCGCAGTAAGCACACTATTAGACGCTTCTATTTGACTCTCAGATATGAAGAGCAGGCCCCAAAATGTACTATTTAGCAGATTAGCAGCAACACAATTAGAATGTTTACAAGTGTGCAGAAAGCACACTATTAGGCGCTTCAATTTGACTCTTACATATGAAGAACAGGCAGCAAAATTTAATATTTAGCAGATTATCAGCAAAACAATTAGAATGTTTACAAGTGCGCAGTAAGCGCACTATTTGACGCTTCTATTTGACTCTCAGATATGAAGAACAGGCCCCAAAGTATACTATTTAGCAGATTAGCAGCAAAACAATTAGAATGTTTACAAGTGCGCAGAAAGCACACTATTAGACGCTTCAATTTGACTCTCACATATGAAGAACAGGCCACAAAATTTACTATTTAGCAGATTAGCACACATCATCTTCCACCCACTCCTCAACCCTGCCCTCCTTGCCGGTATGCACACTGCAGAAAGCCAAAGCATTTGGCACCTGTGTTTTTCCAGCATCTAAAGTCTGCAAAGGACATATGGAAATTGTTTTAGAATTGTATCCAGGCAACAGTTTTCCCTATAAACTGATCTCTCAGTTTGACTTGTGATGGCATTGCCCCAGAATAACAATATTGTTTAAGTACCTCTTAGCTATTGATTAACTGGTTTAAATAAAGCAGCTTGTTATCTGGTAGTTTCTAGTGTAGAAAATATCAATCTGTTTTCTATCACTTAGATCTGTGTAACAAGTGTTGTAGGTGTGAAACAATATTACAAGTGACCGATATAGTAAATTCGAATCAAAGTTACGCTTCGATTTGACTCTCAGATATGAAGTGAACACCCCAAATATACTATTAAGTGCCAAATTTTTTTTTTCTTTTAAATTAACTTTTTAAAACTCCAATGTAAGCAGCAGATTAGCAGCAAAACAATTAGAATGTTTACCACTGCGCATTAAGCGCACTATTTGACGCTTCTATTTGACTCTCGCATAGGAAGTGCACCGCTGGCCCCAAAATGTACTATTTAGCAGATTAGCAGCAAAACAATTAGAATGTTTACAAGTGCGCAGTAAGCGCACTATTAGACACTTCGATTTGACTCTCACATATGAAGAACAGGCCCCAAAATGTACTATTTAGCAGATTAGTAGCAAAACAATTAGAATGTTTACAAGTGCGCAGTAAGCACACTATTAGACGCTTCGATTTGACTCTCACATATGAAGAACAGGCCCCAAAATGTACTATTTAGCAGATTAGCAGCAAAACAATTAAAATGTTTACAAGTGCGCAGTAAGCGCACTATTTGACGCTTCTATTTGACTCTCACATATAAAGAAAAGGCCCCAAAACGTACTATTTAGCAGATTAGTAGCAAAACAATTAGAATGTTTACAAGTGCGCAGTAAGCGCACTATTTGATGCTTCTATTTGACTCTCACATATGAAGAGCAGGCCCCAAAATGTACTATTTAGCAGTTTAGCACCAAAACAATTAGAATGTTTACAATTGCGCTGTAACCGCAGTATTAGACGCTTCTATTTGACTCTAAGATATTAAGTGCACGCCCCAAAATGTACTATTTAGCAGATTAGCAGCAAAACAATTAGAATGTTTACAAGTGCGCAGTAAGCACAGTATTAGATGCTTCGATTTGACTCTCAGATATAAAGAACAGGCCCCAAAATGTACTATTTAGCAGTTTAGCAGCAAAACAATTAGAATGTTTACCACTACGCAGTAAGTGCACTACTAGACGCTTCTATTTGACTCTCAGATATGAAGTGCACCCCACTAATGTACTTTTTAGCATCCAAAAAATTTTAAGTTTTAAAACTGCAATGTGACAGCAGTATTTGACGCTTCTATTTGACTCTCAGATATGAAGTGCACCCCACTAATGTACTTTTTAGCATCCAAAAAATTTTAAGTTTTAAAACTGCAATGTGACAGCACTATTTGACGATTCTATTTGACTCTCAGATATGAAGTGCACCCCACTAATGTACTACCCCACTAATGTACTATTTCGCACCCAAAAATTTTTACTTTTTAAAACTCTGATGTAACTGCGGTATTTGAAGCTTCTATTTCACTCTCAGATATGAAGTGCACCTCACCCCACCAATGTACTAATTCTTTCCTAAGCTGTCCCTATCAGCGGCAGCATCCTCTCCCTACACTAATAAGACTGCATGTGCGTGTGGCGCTACGCGACTCCAGCTTATAGATAGAGGCTGGGTCACATGCTGCACTGGCCAATGACAGCCATGCCATTAGTAGGCATGGCTGTGATGGCTTCTAAGGGCACACAAGTCAAATGCTTGTTGATTGGCTGCCCTGCAGCCTTTGAAAACGCGCCATTAAATCGCCGAACACCGAACTCCAACCCAAACATACAGTGTTATGTCCGTGTTCGGGTCCGGGGTCCAAAAAACCTAAGGTTCGGTACGAACCCGAACTTTTCAGTTCGGGTTCGCTCAATTCTAAAGATGAGTTTTAAACTTTTATAGAGGGTTTAAGGGGGGGCAAGCCACCTAAATGGTGGGTTAAACACTATAGGGTCAGGAATACATGTTTGTGTTCCTGATCCTATAGTGATCCTTTAAAATAAAGGCAATGCAACACATTTCTTAAATTATTTGATTATTTACATATTTGTTAGTAAGTTGTGATCAAAACATAAAAATAAAATTGTGTACTAATGAAACGCTTAATACAGCTTTCTAATAATCAAACTACAAAAAACAAACAAAAATAGTGCAAAGAAATATGAAGTGCTAAATGTTTACTTAACTAGTAGATAAAGGACATGATTCAATTAATTGAGAAGCATTTATTTAAAACATGCTTGAAATAATAAAGTGAGGGGAGGTTGGGTTGGTGGTTTAAATCATTATGGCCAAACTTGAGTTTCATCCAAGTAGGAAACATCATCAGAGGAATGAACATAACTTCAAAAACAGTTCCAAGCAGTGTTTCAGCAAGTAGACTCAGAAACCTGGACACACAGAGCATCACACAATGATTTCAGCAGTATTCCTTCTGACTTGCTACAATATATTTTATGGATCATGCCAATTGTCTGGAAGAGGTATGTCAAACTTGTCAAAAATGTTTATTATTTGCAAAGGTACATATTAATATATTAGCTTATATTCCATGTAAATCATTATTTTAACCCTGTATGTAGTGCATATTAATGTAGATGTGTTTTTTCTGTATTAGAGTTTATATTTAAGACATCAACATAGCACTCACATTACAATTTTTTAAACAAAGAATGCTAATTTGGCTACAAACACAAAAGCCAAGAAATAATTTAATGCAATACAATAAAATGCTACTTTAAGTGCTTAAAATCAAGCAAATTAAAGAATGTATTTAAGCCTGTCTGCCTTACTATCTATTGATTGATCTTTTTTTGTTTATTTATTTCATAAGCATCTTGAATATTGAAAATTTAACAATGTCCACATCCGGACCTTCTAAGTACTTTCTACATTTTCTTAGGCTTTTTATAACATTTTTGGTGGCAATAGCCTTTTCTAAAATTCTTTCTCTGTATTTATCCATACACCTATCCTCTCTGTGTTTTTTTGTGTAGACGTATAACACACATGCAAAATATATATCCACACCTTAATATATATCCCCTATTTCTTTACATCTTGTAAATAAAACACACACAAGTTTACACATGTATCTTATGCTAT